TCTTCACGCTGGCGCCCACGACAGCCGAGGCGAATATTTCGTTCGCAAGAGACCCGTCGCTCACGGCCGCCTGCTGCCGCAGGTGGTCGGCGCCCAGGGCCGCGGCGCCAGCGGCGCTCGCCGCACCGCCAAGGTGTTTTCAATTGTTGGCAACCAACAGTAGCACCCCAGGGCGGGGCGCAGCGACTGCAAGCCCTGTCGGGAAATACCCGGCGCAGCTGCGGCCGCGCGGTGGCCCCGCGTCCTCGGAGCGCGAAGAAGCACTCGACCTTGCCCACCCCCCGATTTATGGCCAGGTTCGGGCGGTCGAAAACGCCACGCACGGCGCGCAGCACGACGTCGATGGCAGCATCCAACTCCTTGCACAGGCGCACCGTGACCTCGCAGAACTCGTCGTCGACGAAGGCGGCATCCACGAGAGGGACGGCCTATGGGTCGGCACGCGGCCCAGCGGGGCCGGCACCCCAGAAAGCCAGGGACCGGGCCCGCAGGCAGAGCAAGACGCCAGCGCCCACGAAAGCGTCGCGGATCAGCACATTGCCAACGAGAACGCGCCGTTGAAAGCCACGGCGCCGCGCTCGCACCCCTGGCGGCCGCCATCGCGCGCGACGATGGCGGCGTCAACGTCGCCATGGGAGAACCACGCAGCCGCGCGGGGTTTTTCGAGCAGGCGGATGACTTTTGGGCGAACACCCCACTGGGCTAAGAAGAGACCACGCCATGTCACCCACTGCGGCATCCACGCGGATTGGTCGGGGCTGAGGCCGAGGCATGCGAGGGAAGCCCCAGGGCCAGTTGCATCGAAGGCCCATCCAAGCACCACCGCCCTCAAAATGCGGTCGAACGCCTTGGCGGGGTCAACGAACCACGCGAACGACCACCTGCCAGTCGCATTGCAGCACGCCTAAAGCTGTGAACGATGTGAGCGGCATAGTCAGCCCCCCTGCCACAACCGCGCCGCGCTGCCTCTCGGGGATATTGGCCTCGCCAAAGCCAGTGACCACGCGGCTGAGCAGCTGCTCGACGTCTTTCGCGGCGTGATCTTCCAGCAAGATGCCGCGGGACTCGTCGTGGAGGGCGATGGCGTCGCCAAAGCTTCCCGCCCGGCCACTTGCAGTTCAGTCGGCACGCCATTGCGCCCGACGCCCTTGCCCCACCCCAGCAACAGCGCCCGGCGCAACCTCGACGGCGAGAGAAGCGAGCGGCGCCTCCACGGGCCGCGCGCCCAGCAGGCCCATAGGGACCTCGGCGCCGTCGAAGACTTGAAATGCTCCCGCCACCGGGATTGCCGCCCCGCCTGGGAGCTGGACAATGCGCCAATTTTGACGGGCACGGCGCGGTCCGCCAAGCTAGCAGCCCGGCCACTGAGCGATCGCGCAACGCCGAAAGTGCCTCTCCAGCCACCCCGAATGGCGGCGCACTGGGCCTCGCGGGCCGTCTCCGGGGAAGAGCCGCCGGTCGAAATGGCCAAAGTGCTCAAGGAGGTTGGCGAGCGGATGGAAGACCACACAGACGATCACACCCAGCAAGCGCAACTGGACCTCGACGCGTCAATGCGGCCGAAGCGCGCAGCGAACGGCCCGGCCCCGACGCGTCGGCAAGATGGGGCCGCGTGGAAGACACCCGTGTGCAGCGCAGCCCAAAGAGGACGACCGCGCGGAAGTACGCTCGACGCGCCTCCTGGCCGGAGGCGCGCACGACACTGCGCAGGGGCGCCAGCAGGCGCAATATCGACCAAGTGTCTTCGGATATCGACGGCTGGCGAAGGCGGTCCTCAGGCCAGCCGAAAGCCTCGCGGGCGGCCGCGCGCACCCGCGACATCATCGCCTAGGTCTTCTCGTCGATGGAGGCGTCGACGGGGACATGCAGACGGCACAATATTGTCTGGAACGCTTGGAACTGGGCTGGGTCGCCAAGCCGCCACTCGTCGAGGCGGAAAACGCCAGGCTCGGGCACGCGCGCGAGGAGCGCAGACGCGCTGGTCGCAGCTTCGATGAGACGACGGCCCCCCTCGGCTGCAAGCGAAAGCTCCACGTCGCGCGAGTCGGACGCCTAGGACAGCTCGCCCGAAAACCCGCAATGTTAATACGGGGCGCGGGGCCTTTGCCGGACCGCCACGCGCAGCCTGCATAGTAGGGGGCGCCGATGACATCTAGGCAGAGGCGGACGAGCACCGAGACCCGGTCGGAGCCGTTCGCCGCACACGCTTCCGAATCGCAGGCGCCGGCTGTCCCAGAGCGATCGGCGCCAACCCTGCCGCTCGCGTCGACGCCGCAGAACATCTCGGCGGACGAGGCGCGGCCGCGAAGCGTCAGCTCCAGAGCAGAAGTTCCTAGAAGGCCCCCCGCTCGGCAGCGCGGGCGCGGCCACTCGGCGCATGGACGCTGACGAGAACAAATGAAATGCCCTTCGCATCCTGGCCCGCTACCCAAAAGAAGCGACTGTAGGCGCCGCGTAGGAGGAGGCACGGAATTGGGCGGCAGCGCGGACCCACACCCGACAGCCGCGCCCGCCCAGGCTGTCCGCCGCGCCGACATGCATGGCGCAGTGGAAGCATCGGCGCACTTCAGCGGCGCGTGCGCGACCCTCCTGGACGAAGACGGAATGGAGATGCCCCCCGCGGAACGCCTGCCCCAGAGTTTGGACCTTGCCGAGCAGGAGGGCGCAGGTGACCTGAGCGCCAGCAGCTGCTTCCTCTTGTGGGCTAAGCGTAAACACGTTATCAGTGGCAACGCGGAATGTCGAACAAGCCATCGTAGATGGACGAGGTCGGAGCCGGCGTTGTGGGAGCCGCCTTTTGACGAAGGCGTGGTCGCAAACGGCCGGATCGCAAACGCACGAATGCTACTTGCGCGCGCCGGTCAACGCTCAGGAGGGCGAGGCGGACCGCGAATGCCGAAGGCCGCGCGCGAGGCGGCGTCTACGCACTCGGAGGGGCCCTGGAGGTGGCAGGAAGCCCCGCCGACTCCTTGCCGATGGACTTGATCACCTTGCGCGTGCTGAAATAATAGGTGATCAGCTCCTTTCGCAGTTGTTTCCCAAATGTGGCGCACCATCACGCCAGGCTGCGCGGGGAGCGGAGCCACAGGGGGGGCTCTTGCTGGCATGGCGCACCTCCTTAGAGATAAGCGGCGCACAGGCAACAGCTACACGAGTGGCCTCGGCCTGCTGGAGAGTGGCCCGAAAGCCGTCGAACAACTGCCTCACGTGCGCCTTGGTGGCTTCGATGTGCCCTCGGTAGACGTGCTCGTCGGCCGTGAGCTGGTCGATCGTCGAGCCCAGAATCGCATGTTCCTGGGCCTCGGGCGTCGCAGGCGCCTCGATGATGATCTCCGTTGCGAGAGAGGTCTCCAGCGCACGGAGCTCCGTCTCGAGCGCACTGACCTCGCATGCGCCAATTTCCTGTAGCTGCAAGGCCACTTCCACCGCCTGCTCGGCCACGGCCTGGCGCTGGCGAGCACGTCCCAGAGCAGCACGCGCACCATCGATCCGGACACCGATCGGCTGAGAGCCGAGTGGCTGCCTTTTGGCGTCGGCGAGCCCGGACGCTAGCGACGCGAGCTCGGAGGCGAGCTCCGCGTCGTCTTCGGGAACGGTCGCCAGGGCAGTCTCGAGCTGCTTGCTGCAGGCCTGGAAGTGGCACTTGATCGGGGCCTCGCTGCTGAGAGCCTGCGGCGGGCGCTCGGCGTGCACAAGAGGAGGCGCGGGAGGCGTGGGAGGTGCGTCCTTCGCCTCGTGGATCCTCCTGAGATTGTCCGTGAGGGCGTTGAGCAGAGCACGAACAGGGCTCTGGCAGAGCCCTGTTCGTGCTCTGCTGTGCTGCACAGTCGTCTCCTTGAAGGGGGAGGGGCCAGCGACGACTTTGCAACCTCGCCGTAGGTCCGCTGGAGCCCGCAAGTCGTGCAAGCTTTGGGGCTCTGGTTCGTGCTCTGGCATTGCCTGCCAGTCCACAGGCGAGTGCTCGAGAGGTTCGTCTGGTTTGTGCGATGGGCGAGCGCCCACGCAGTGCCAGTTGCCAGGCGGATCCTTCTTCCACTCCGCTGAGTGCCTCGAGGACCACGACAAGCAGGCATGTGCACCACCATTGACGGGATGGTTGGCAAGCCACACCACGCCCTGGCCACCGCCAGCGCGTCCTGGGCCACTCCGTCCCGGCATGGGCGCTGAGCAGGCACCCACGAGGACGCGAGCGCGAAGCCACACGCTGGTGCGGCTGCGCTGGAGTGTAGACTTCCAATCAGCTGAAGGGCCGCTCCAAAATGTTTACGGAGGTGTGTGTGTGTGTCGGGCCCTCCTTTTCGCTCCGTGCCAGACAAGATTAAACGCCCCCCGACGCATCGAGCCCGATTACACCTACTCCCCCGCCCCCCCCAATCCCACACTCCCCCCCAGGCCCCTGGTCCCCGCCCGCCCCCCCTCCCGCCCGAGGTCGGTGACGGAATCGCGCGGCAGCGCAACTGTATATATATATATGTATATATTTATATGTATATATCTATATACATATACATACATACATACATACATACATACATACATACATACATACCTACCTGCCTGCCTGCCTGCCTGCCTGCCTGCCTGCCTGGCTGGCTGGCTGGCTGCCTGCCTGCCTGCCTGCCTGCCTGCCTGCCTGCCTGCATGCATGCATGCATGCATACATACATACATACATGCATACATACATGCATACATACATGCATACATGCATCCAACCATCCATCCATCCATCCATACATACATACATGCATCCATATATGCATACATACATACATACATACATACATACATGCATGCATGCATGCATGCATGCATGCATGCATACATACATACATACATACATACATACATACATACATACATACATACATACGTACACACACATAAGTATATATATGTGTGTACACACATACACGCATGTATATACACATACACAGATGTCTACACATAAATGTGTACATACACACATGATATAGCCCCGTGCGCAGAACCCCCATTTCCATGGAGCCGTGCGACGTCAAGTAGTCCGAGTCGTTTGTGAACAGGTAGCCAGTATAAGATGCCACCTCTCCCACCGCACATACCCGCCGTGCGATGCAAATATGTGAGCGTCCCCCTCGTCAGACAGCCTGGTAAGCGCCGAAGTATGGAGGACCAGTGTGGAAACACCAGCTACACCATCGTGCACAAAGGGCTAGCTTGAAAAATATACTAATCTCGAATATTCTGACACTAACCATCGTAAAACCTGGGGACAATCGGACGCGGGACACGAAGGAGACCTTTCAGGTTCAGAAAGGTCGTACTTCCATCGCGCTGGATTCTCCACTGGACCACCCCTACAAAATAGATCTCAACACCAAGACGAGGAGGGAAAACAACACGGATACATAGTCCGTCAAATGCACATCCATCCCAGCATGCCAGCCGAGCTGTCGTATTATCGGAACATGCGTGTCCTCAACAGTCTTCGCTTCTCGACATGTTTCATGTTTAAAAGAATGGCTTCTATAGTCCTTCGCTGCGATCAATGGTCTGTGGCCGCGTCCATGCTACCACTGCTTATCCTTACCCTTATGCATATGCGCAAATTGGCAAGAAATTGCGCAAGCATGCGTGGTCATGCTTACGCAGGAGGGGATGGGAATGCACGTGTTTACGCATGCGAGCGTGACTGTGTTGAACTTCCAATTCGATATGAGTCCCACCAGCCCGTTAGGGCGTAGGTGGTCTAGGGTGGCTTGACTTCCATCGGCCCCCGTTCCCCTCCGAGGAAAGGTTTATCACTGCTCCCTAGTAATAAAAACCCGGCCGGCAGCCAACCGGAACCATGCGCACACCATGAGGACACCCTCCCCCACCATCCCTGTCAAAAACAATACAAAACGCACATTGCGGGGCCCACCCTGCCAACACCCTCCACAATCCCTATCAAAAAACAATACGAAGTGCACATTGCAACAAGATCTGGACAGTGCGCTGGCGCCCTGTGAGCACGTTGTATTGTTTTTTGACGGGGACTGCGGGACACCCTTCATGAAGCCGCTTTGTGCAGGACCACCATCCGTGTCAAAAACAATGCAAAGTGCACGACAACGTCTGGGTATTGGACTGGCCACCCGCGATCACTTTGTGTTGTTTTTTTGACAGGGACGGCGGTGGTGCCCGCATTATGATGCTTGCTGTGCTCAGGCCCAGAACAATGCTGACGCCCCCCACATCAGCCTCTGGACCATGCGGACGGGAGGGCATCACGTTTTTACAAGGATGGCACACCAACCGCACGTGGAGCCCACGGCGAGCGTCACGCACCTGGAGTCCGCTTTGGTTCCCAATGGCTGTCCATCCAGTGGCGACCCCTGGCGATGCCGAGACTCGGATGCCACTTATGTGGTGGAAGGGCGGGTGGGAGTGAGCCAGACGGCTTGCGTGCGGAGAGGGTGTCTTGACCCCTCCCCCTACCCCTCCCCTGGACCTGGACGGGGGGTCCCGCGAGGGGTTGGAGCGTCCAAGATGGCCCAAGATGACTCCAAGAGCGCCTCGGAGAGCCCAAGATGAGCTCCAAAGTGTTTCAGGATATCCCAAGATGCCTCAAGATGGCTGCAAAGATGCTCAAAGAGGCCCCAAGACCGCTCCAAGACGGCTCCAAGTGGCCAAAGAGCTCCCCAAGGAGGCCCCGAAGAGGCCAACATCCATCAAAAACCCAAGGAAAATCTATGTTTCTTGCGTTCTCGCCTTTTCGCTGTCGATGGCCATCCGAGGCCTCAAGATGGCTCCAAGATGGCCCAAGAGGGCCCCTGGAGAGGCCCAAGAGAGCCCCAAGACGGCCCACGCGCGCCCAAGAGCGCTCCAAGCGCGCCCCAAGAGCGCCCCAAAAGGCGACTTTTGGGGCTCCCAAGGGGGGACGGGAATCGAGGAACCCCTTTTTTTGTTGATCGATGTCCTCCAAGATGGCCCCAAGAGTGCCCTGAAAGCTCCCAAGAGCGCCCCAAGAGTCCAAGAGGGCCCCAAGAGGCGCCAAGACAGCCCAAGAGGCGCCCAAGAGGCCTCCACGAGGCTCCCAAGAGGCCCCCAAGAGGCCCCAAGAGGATCTCCGAGGCACCCAAGACGCTCAAAGAAGCACCTTGGCTCGCCAAGATGCTCCTCCTCCTCCTCCTCCTCCTCCTCCTCCTCCTCCTCCTCATCCTCCTCCTTGTCCACTGTCTCTTACTCCTTCCTTCTCATCGCCCTTCTCCTCCTCCTCCTCATTTACCTCCTCCTCCTTCGCCTCCATCCTCCTCCTCCTCTTGGGCTATCGGACGGTTTTCCCCGCCTTTAGTCATTCTGCATGCTCCCCCATTTCCCTGATCACCTCCACTCCCATGGGCATCGTTTCTGGATGGGCTGGTGGGGGTACGCGAAGCGTGAACAAGTATGATTGTGTTAGCGTGCACGCATACAAGTCACCCACCGCGCACGCAAAATAAACCTCACGCCGAATTACGCTTCTGCTTGCACATTCGACTGCGCGTCCTGATGCGAAGCTGCACATTTCTGCAGGCGCGTGAGATTGCGAGTGGGAGTGGTTCTGCAATAGCACATATGACGATGCTTCGCCGATGCCAGCCTCTCATACGAATTCGACCCCACAGGACGAAGCACTATTCAGATGCAAGGGCCGTCCTGACACAGCACAGCTGAGAGCCGCGCGCGACGACGAAATGGCAGGAGGACAAGCGCACCTCAGACATCGACCACGGGAGAAGGAACGCGCAACTTGCATGCTCGATGGGTCCAGGTTCCGGATGGCGAGCGCCGACTAGAATGCATCAAAATCGGGGGCCGTCAACTGACCACATCATCGAACCTGGTTGGGCCGGTCCTGGACCCAAGCAGAGACGGTGTCGGAGAAGGGCCAGTCGAGACAACAGCAACTCTCCCACCTGGCCCACATCCGCTAAAGATCGGTCCCTAGACCTGGATCCCTCCTGGCCCGCTTTTCGAAGCGGATCCAGCTGTGGCGGCGAGAACCCCCCAGGAGGTCCAAAACGAGCGGAAACACGCGAGGGAGGGCCGCAGTTGTCGTGCCTGGCCCTCCTCCGCAGGGCCTGGCCAGGATCGGTGATGTGGTCAGCTGACCCGGTCCGATCAGAAGCGACCCTGCTGGTCGAAGCGACGCGTACGTGCTTGCTGCGAACTGCATGCCTAAAAAAGACGAAACTGCACACACACACACACACACACACAAACAAACACACACACACACACACACACACACACACACACAAACACACACACACACACACAAACACACACACAAACTCTCTCACGCACACAGACACACACACACACACACACATTTGCGTCGGCGGCTGGGCAGAGGGACTGCTCCGGCGATGTGGCATTAGTGGGTCACACAAGACGCGAATTAAGCCGCAGGGCACGCGGGATGAGAGAGAGGAGGCCCGGCGCGGGCTGGAAGGAAGGGAAGCCGGGCCCGCTCAAAGCAGGGACAGGCCGCGGCGGGGCTGGCGCCGGGGCGGGGGGGCCAGCGGCGGCGGCGAGGCGGCAGCTGGGGCAGGGCAGCCGGCGGGCAGCCGGGCACAGCCAAGGGGGGGGGGGCAGGTCCAGCGCAAGCTGGAGGCGGGGCAGCGCAGCAGGGCGACCGAGATGCCGAGATCCAAGTGGCCTCCAGGCAACCGAGGGCGGCCGCCCGAGGGGGCCACCTCAGGAGAGGGGCCGGGGGGCACTGGGGAAGGAGACCCGGCAGGGCGGAGCGGGGAGGGCGAGGGCAGGCCAGGGTGCCGAGATCCGAAGGAGCTGCGAGGCAACCCGAGGGGGGGCGGCCCAGGACAACCCCAGGGCGAGGGGGCGGAGGGAGCACAAGAAGAAGTGCAGGCAGCCGGGGCGGAACCTGGGGCAAGTACGCCAGATGGGCAGGCCTGAAAACCACGCAAAGGGGGTCGGTGGGTGCCGTGGCCGTGGGTGGCCAACAAGGCACCCCAGGGACTCCAGGCGAAGGCCCGATCGGAGGACCAGGCAAGCGGTGGGAGCAGGAGAAGCAACCACCGGGGGGCGGGGCATGCACACGCACACACGCACACACACACACACACATGAGCTTCCGGAGGTCGGCGCGGATTTCCTGGATCTGCGCCGAGCCTCCCTCCCTGGCGCGCTCCGCGGGCCAGGGGCGGCGCCAGATGCGCCACCAAGGGTGTCAAGCGCAGATCTGGGATCTCCGTGCGGACTTCCAGCAGCTTATCTTCAGGCAGCTTCTCCTTCTTCGTATTATTCTTCTTCGAGCCATGGCACCTCAGCCCCCACCAGCCCATCCACCTCAGCTGGGGACAGGCCCCGCGGAACCCGAAGGGAACAAGTCCAAGATATGCGTTCTTGTGTTTTACACAAAAACTGCTGGGGCCGAGAATCACAAGTGCTCGAGCGGCCCAAGATCGCTTGAGCCACGTCCCGAGACATCACGCGAATCATAGCAAGCAACAGAATCTGAAACGCCGCACCTCCGTAGCCGACCGCAGAGCTGGGGAAGAATGCTGGCATGCCTCTGTCTGTTTCTCGACAAAAACGGCCCCTTTGATCGAAGCGGCGCGAGCTTGCCGGCCAACTCCCTGCCGCTCGGCGGGCCTGCTGCTCGACGATCACCCTCGCGGCGTCCTTCTGCTCCTCGGCGCGCGAGCGCATGCTAAGTAAACATGTCGCCCTCGCTGTCTGCTACGAGCATGACGTCAAGATACGATTGGCTCTGGTCCAATCTTCGGGTTGCGCATGGACCCCCCCCCCGGGTATATCGTCACGGCTGGTTTCGACAGGCCCCCCGAGTAGTCAAAACCCTAATAAGGACGCGCGGTAAGGACGCAAGATCCTTGGAAGCCGAAGTTGGGATTTTGGGGGCGGCGGACGACGCATTTCGAGGAAGAGCAAGGACGCAAGAGCAAGGAAGAGCAAGGACGCAAGGGTACCCTGAGCAAAGTCGCGCGTCCTTATTAGGGTTTTTGACTGTAGTCCTGGCCGGTCTCAACACCAAGGCGCCGCCTCCGGCGGCGCCCCTGCGGCGCCCCTGGGGCGCTCTGCGCCCCAGGGTTGGGGTGTTGCGACCGCCCTGGACTTCTCGGGGGAGGAGGAGGAGGAGGAGGAGGAGGAGGAGGAGGAGGAGGAGGAGAAGGAGGAGGAAAGAGAAGGAGAAAGAGAAGAAGAGGAGGAGGCGAGGAGGAGGAGGAGGAGGAGGAGGAAGGAGAAGGAGGAGGAGAGAGAGGAGGGGGAGGAGGAGGAGAGGGAGGAGGAGGAGGCCACGTGGGACTAGGGGGCCTGTTGAGGCCAGCCGGGGCTCCCCTGGGGGGCTGCCTCTGCGCAACCCGAAGCCTTACCATGGCGCGATTGGCTCAGGATACGTCCCAAGAATTCGGGAGTCTCCAGAGGCCCTCGTTTCTGAAGTCCGTGCGGAAGAGTAGGGGCCCTTCGAAATCATGGGAATTGTGGGGCGTATCATTATCATGACTTCTTGCTCCTCTGACTGCTTTGCGCGGACCACAGTCAAAGCATGGCCACAAGAGCGCGGGTCGGGGATGTGAGCCCCTGCCCTGAGGGCCCGGTGCCGAGTGGAGATAACCCAGAGCGAAGAGCAATGCAAGGTGGAGAGCTAAAGAAGAAGATCATGAGGATGCCCCTCCAGCCTATAACAGTGGATATGTCGACCCCTATCCCAGGCTTTGGGAGGTTTTCGAATGGACCAACAATTTGGGGCCCAACCCTGGGATATACGACGGGGGCGCGTCCATCCTCGATAGGGGTGTGTGTGTGTGTGTGCGAATCGCCAGCCCCCTTGGGGTGTATCCCAGGGTTTCCCTCCCTGTTATGAGCGGCTCGATTCTTCATCGAGAAGTCGGGAGAAAAAAATCGGCTGCGAAACTGAGCCAACTCTTGGTCATCGTGCCAGCTGTCCCGTTGCACGCATCTCGGCTGGGTGTGCACGGCCGGGTGCAGTGTAAACGGGGGGCGATCGAGGGCCGCAGAAAAAAAACGTGGCCCCGAGGGGGCCCCGAGCGGCCATCGCGGCCCCAAAAGAGCTGCTGGAAGGGTGCGCCTCTCCTCAGCCCCCGCTTATTCCAGGAGGAGGAGGAGGAGGAGGAGGAGGAGCAAGGAGGAGGAGGAGGAGGAGGAGGAGGAGGAGGAAGATGAGGAGGCCCCCCTCATGTCGCCCGTCCGCCAGTCCCATCAGGCGTCATTGGGTGTATGCGTCTCGGGATCCACGCGGTGTTTTTTGTTGCAGAAGGCACCCGCAAACACACTTCGCCACCATGCCTGGTCATCCTGGGGCCTGGTGTTGGAGGCTTCAAAACCGGCATAAACATAATTTTCTGAGGTCCATGAAAAATCTGCCGACCCTGTCGGCGTGTAGAAGAGGCTGTTCCGTTTGACTCGTCGTCGTCGTCGTCGTCGTCGTCGTGGTCTTTGTCGTCGTCGAGCGCGCCAGCCACAGCGAACTTGAGCAACGTTGTAGTGGAGTCGAAGGGAAGCCACTTCCCACGGATCCCTTCCCCGCCAGGCGGGGGGTCCCGGCGAAGTCCTGGGGAAGTCTCGGGTTAGATACGACTCCCCCCCGGGCGGTTCGGGACCCCAGAAAAACCCCAAGACGCGGCAAAAATGCCCCAAGATGCCCCGAAGACGGTCCTCGAAAGCCCCGAATCGCCGAAGTATCGGTCCAAGTCGGGAAAATAGCCTCCGGAAGGCTCGAAAGGTTTCCAAAACATCCCAAGAGACCTCCAAGAGGACTTCAAAGAGTGCACCAAGGAACAAAAATCTCAGATTTCTCTTAGCTTTTTGAACGATTTCGGCATTCTCGCCCTGTCAGCTTCCCGACGCTCCAAGACAGGCCAAGAGGCCCTCTAAGACTGCCCCAAGATGGCCAAAGAGGGGTCCAAGAGAGCCCAAAAAGACCCGAGAGGGCCCCAAGACCGTCCAAGAGGCCTCCAAGACAATCGAAGAGGCTCCCAAGACGGTTGTAAGAGGGAGCCCAGACGGGGGACCCGAACGGACATTTCGAGCCCTCGACTTGAGAAGCTCTCAGGAGACCCCCGGAGGCCCCTAAGAAGCCCCCAAGAAGCCCCAAGAGGCCCCCAAGAGACCCCCAGGAAGCCCCAAGAGGCCACAACGAGGCTCTCAAGCGGCCCCCAAGAGCTTCTCAAGAGGCCCCCGAACAACCCCCAGGAGACCCCCGAGAGCTTCGTTGTGGTCGTGGTTGTCGCCGCCGTGCAGGGTCGGCGGCACCGGCCGTAAGGCCTTCGCAATATGTTTATGCCATTTGTTTTGCTTGTATGGCATGGCGTGCACTTACGCCACATATGGTCTGATCGGGCCCCGTCCTGTTCTTCTCGCCCTCTTGCTCTTTCGCTTCGTGCCTTTCTTCGCTTCGGGTGCATCCCACCGCTCGCTTTGACGGGCGCCTGACCGTCTTGCACCACCTGGCACCCGCTGACATAAATTACACAAAAAAAGAAACCCAATCAATGGATGGTTTTCGCTGAGGAGATGGACCGGGAACCCGGGAGCCCGGGAACCCAGAACCCACCGAACTCGGCCCGGAACGAATAACCAGGAACTCGAGAACCCGGAAGCGGGAACCCGGGAACCCAGCCTGCTACCAAAATCGGCGGGAGACCTTCGCCAAATCTTTCATCTTCCGCTAGGACCCCTTCAGTGCAAGCACGGATTGGGGAACAAGTGCATTTACGCCCACCAGGCCGTGGCGACGAGAGCCCGTCGTGACACCACCCCCGAAGGCTCAAGATGACCCCGGCCAAGGCGAGGCCGGCCGAGCCCCCGCCGTCTGCTGCCGTGCCCTGGCCGCCCAAACGAGGCAGGAATGATGGAATGGTACGATTGGCTCGGGCTGCGTTCCAGGAGCTCCAAAGTATTGAGCGGCCCGCGTGTCTGCAGCCCGCGTGGAGCATTCGAGGGAACCTGAGATTGCTCCCTTTGACTATTGTGAAACTCTGTGAGGCCTAATGAAGCATGCGTGCGTACTGCGGGCTTGTAGTCGTAGTGCGGGCCGGTGGGCGCGCGTAAGAAGTGCACGTTGGCATCCCATATACTAATGATTCTGAGCATGCCTGAACGAATTTTGAATGAACATTCTGGATATGGTCGCTTGGGGTATGGTCGTTTCGAGCATGCCTCTACGAGTTGAGAGCAGGGGCGTCTTCCAAAGAATCAAAGGAAAACCAATCCTGTGCCCAGGATCAGTGCGTGCGTCCTCCTGGCCCGGTCAGGGAAGCGCATACACCAACCGCGGGTCTCGGACTGGCCCATGGCCAGGGCAAGCGCTGGATGCACAGCTCGTGCCCCCCGACTCGGGGGGCCCCCCTGAGGCTCTCCCCTGGGGGCCTCTGCCGGGGCCCTCTCGGAGCCCGCTCGCTCCGGACCATCCTCGCGGTGACCCTGTCCTCCGGCGTTGCAGCCGGGGAGCCTAAACAGCATCAACGACACGCCGCCGTGGGTAGCCCATCAGAGCGTCAGTGTTGAAGTAGAACGCCAGGCCTTCGGAAATAAAACGAAGGAGTAACACATGGACGGGCTCCCGACGGCGGCGCGTCATTGATACCATTTCCCCTCTCGATGCAGTCTTTTCGCGACGTCGGCCCCTGGGCCGTGACCACTGGGGCGTTGGCCACTTTCCCAAGGGCCGGATTTTCATCCTGAGCCTGTTTGGTGCGGCCCCCGGGGCCAGGAAACGGCCTCCGTGGAGGCTGCGAGCGACGAAAAAACGGCCGCCGCATTTTGTCTGTGCCTCGCCAGGATTTGATAGGGGGGCGCCAACTGCACAGCTACACCGATCCTGACCAGGCCCACCCTGGGCCAGGAATCTGTGCATATGCCCTCGAGCCACCTGCAGAAAGTGAAGGCGGCCACCGTGGCCTGGATGATATTCTGCGTCATCTCCAAGGCCACCTACGGCTGCAAAGGTACCAGCAAACATCACTCATAACCGTCCTCATCCACCTCCTTTGTTCATCCTTCCCCTACTTCTCCTCCTCCGCATCATCATCACCACCACCACCACCATCATCATCAGCAGAAGAGCAGCATCAGCATCAGCATCAGCATCAGCATCAGCACCAGCACCAGCATCATCAATCATCCTCATCGTCGTCATCATCATCATCATTAGCAGCAACATCATCATCATTATCATACTGGCTGCTGGCTGGCTACTGGTACCACTACTATTACTACTACTACTACTACTACTACTACTACTACTACTACTACTACTACTACTACTACTGCTGCTACTACTACTACTACTACTACTACTACGACTACTACTACTACTACTACTACTACTACTACTACTACTACTCCTACTCCTTCTCCTTCTCCTTCTCCTACTCCTATCCTTATTCCTTATTAGAATAAACTCCTACTCCCCCCTCAGGCCGGCAGATAGGGGCCCCATCCGGGTGGTGCCATCCTAACCTGTAAAAAAAATACAAAATCAACATTTTTCAGATTTTTTCCTCTCGACATGGACGTCCTGTCGTCCACGGCGATAATCCATTGCAAAAAATACAACAAAGAGCACACGCGCGCGTTCATGTCAGAATCCTACCGAACACCGTGTGTTTGCAAGAATTTCAACATAAAAACATCAAAAAATCAATGCTTTTTCACAAAAATTCTACACATTTCCTGCCCGGGCTCTCTTGCTGAAATCATAGGAAAACCATAGGAATCTTAAGAATTCTGTCAAATCCAGCGATTTCACGTCATCGCGCGGTGCACTCGCGATGCTCTGTCATGCACCCAGGCCGCGAATCCTGTGCAAAAAATACCACGCGGGCGACATGCGCGCGCGACGCCGCGAGCGCATGCTCAAATCCTTCTAGAGTCGTCGCCGTCATTGGCACCGTCGCATGGACGTCCTGTCGTCCACGTCGCAAAATGCATGGCAGGAATGGGACCCGGCTTACCGGGCCGTTCTCGACACGGCCACCTCTGGCTTCCTGCGGTGTACCGGGCCATTCTCGACTCGTCTGGCAATGCGTGCGCGGCATTCAACACGCGCTCGCCAGTTCCCGTCGGCAACCGCCATCGCGGCCGCATCAGCTGTACCAAACCGGCTGGCCGGTGTGACTTCGGCCCCCAGTTGTGCCAGCTTTGCTTCTTATGTTGTGGGAGGGCGGGTGGGACTGGGCATGCCATGCTTGACTCGCTCGAGCTGGCTAGCTTGACTCCTACTCCTACTCCTACTCCTACTCCTACTCCTACTACTACTACTACTACTACTACTACTACTACTACTACTACTACTACTACTACTACTACTACTACTACTACTACTACTACTACTACCACTACTACTACTACTACTACTACTACTACTACTACTACTACACTACTACTACGAACTAACTACTACTCACTATGGCTACCTACATACATAGAAATGACACGATTACGGTTCCTACGACAACTACTACGACTACTACTACTACTACTACTACTACTACTGCCTACTACTCTACTACACTACTACTACTACTACTACGAACTACGGACTACGACTACGACTACGACTACCACTACTACTACTACTACTACTACTACTACTACTACTACTACTACTACTACACTACTACTACTATAACTACTAGAATTACTGCACCACTACTAACTACTACTACAACTAACTATAACTACACTACTACTACTACTACGCACTACTAACGACAAACTACAATTACTACAACTACTACTACTACTACTACTACTACTACTCTACTACTACAACTACTACTACTACTACTACTACTAACTACTACTACTACCTACCTACTACTACAACTACTACTACTACTACTACTACTACGACTACTACTACTACTACTACTACTACTACTACAACTACTACTACTACTACTACTACTACTACGAGACTACTACTACTACGACTACTACTACTACTACTACTAATTACTACTACTACTACTACTACTACTACTACTACTACTACTACTACTACTACTACTACTACTACTACTACTACTACTACTACTACGAGTACCAGTACTACTATCACTGCTTACGACTACGACTACGACTACGACTACCACTACCACTACGACTACGACTACGACACAACTCCTACTTCGTTTCCTACCACTACTGCTGCTACTACTACTAACACTACCACTACTACTACGACCACTACTACTACTACTACTACTACTACTACTACTACTACTACTACGACTACTATTACTACGACTACTACAGCAACTACTACTACTACTACTAC